AGGTTTCATTTCAGATTGGGCATCCTTTAGTTGCACAACCTTACCTTTGAAATCAATGTCCGGGTTGGCTTCCTCGGGCCAGTCCAACCCAGAATGAGATCAAAAGGCAAATTCTTTTCAACTAGGAAGGATAACTCATGCATAATCTTCTTCCCTTCTCTAGTTCTAAGTTGACACTTAATACGATCAACATACTAGGAGACAATGACCGTACTCTTGTTTGCTAATATAGACGTGATTGGTCGAGACAAGTCTTTCATCTTCATTCCGAGATGCAACTTGCGGATTGCTCTCTCGGATATTTAGGACTTCGTCGATCCGGGGTCCAACAACGCACCTACTCCTGTTCGTGCGATTTCTACATCCGCAAACAACAATTTGCCCTTAGACTTTGCTTTTCGCGCCTATAAGCTATGTAAGGCTAGCAATTCATTACCTAGCTCATCAAGGAAGTCATATAGAGAGATAGAACATAAGACAATATCAAGGCGGTTTGGATAATGGGATAAGAAAGAATCATCCTCTGCCATATGAGAAGGGTTTGTAGGTACCTTACATGTCTGTGTGTCTTTTTAACAGGGAACATGGGAATTAAACTCTCGTTGAATCCTGATAAATTAAGAAAAATTCTGTTGAATTCGTGTTAAACGCGAAAATGGGCCGCTCCCGCACTTTTCGGAAAAACAGAATGGATGCGCGGCGTCCGAAACACGTAGCCCTAGGCGAAAAAAAATAATAAAAAAAAATAATAAAAAAAATAAAAATAAAAAAAAATCCCCCTAACCCCTGAAGCACCTCTTAAACCACTGGATAAGACCAACACCGACCGGCCTGTCACCCGCCACTCACCAACCCCCCGGCACCAGTCCTCAAACCTACCCGGAGACCCTCTAAGCCATACCGCCCCCACATCCCCCAACCCCCAATACCCCAATTATGTGTGTGTAGGTGTGTTGTGTGTGTGCGTATGTGTGTATGTGTGTGCCTGCGTGTGAGAGTGTGTCTGTGCATGAATATGACTGTATGCGCGTGTTTGTGTATGTGTGTTTGTAAGTGTGTGTGTGTGTGTATGTGTGTGTGTGTGTGTGTGCATGATTGTTGGCGTGTGTCCATTATTTCCTTTTTGAGGGATCGAGTTTTTTCGTGTTGAAAACCAGGGGCGGGCGATATAGGTTTGGGCGGGCGATTTGGGTCTGTGTTTTTTTTTTTTCTCTTCTAACTGCATCTTCCCAGAAATACAGTATCCAAGCATTCTGTTGTTTAAAAGTAACGAAATCTAGAACGGACAGCCATGCCTCGTTGGCAGGGCTTGCTAAGAAAAGAAAAGAAAAAAAAAATGTACTTACCTTTGTCCCGAGAGCTGAGGACTCCACTCTCACCGAATGTGCAAAATGAGCATGAATCTGGTAAAACATAGGTAGATACACTGCTAGTAGTTTAGAGCTTGAAATGCCATTTTTCCTGGCCGAGTGTGGGGCGGCACAACCCTCAGTAGCTTGCTATTCGTTTTTCAGGTTTTTTATTTCTTTTCTTTTTTTCCCCTCTTTCGATCCAAGAATCTGGGCTCCGTCCAGCGGCCTAGCTCAGTTGATTAGGCACGCAAGTGGCATTCGGGAGGTTGTGGGTTCAATCCCCTCCTATGGCACTCTTGATGCCAACCAACTGAAATAGTCAGCTGGATCCTCCCAGTCTGTATCAGTAAGGTCTTCAGCCAACACGGCTGGGAGGCACCCCTTGTCCAGGCTGTCTGTACTATCCAACCTCAGTGTGACACTCAAACACGAATCCCCCTCGGCGCGCGGGCGAAGCCGCAGCGCA